ATTTCGGAAGAAAAATTCCAGTCCTATTGGATTCCTTTACAATTAGGAAACTGTTTCAGCTTCTCTACAGGTAAATACGAATATGAAATTCAGTATTATTTTTCTCTTTGCAAAGATTTGTAAGACTTAGAACTTCAGAWAATTTTTAGGTGAAAAAGGGATACGTTAATCGAGGAACTTTACATTGATGAACACTGATGAGCAACTTTTCCAAACCAAACCAAGAAAATGTGAAACAGYAATATCTTTTTTGAAGGATTTATAGTGATCCAAAACATCATGAGACCTATGGTCCAGAGAAGCTTGTGTAATCTGAAATACTGCTTTATAATAAACGGTATAGGCATAAGTTATAAGACATTGTGCTCAAAAATTGGCAGGGTAAACACACTCCCATGGGACTCAGCTATCAACACCAGCTAGAGTTGTAGACTAACCTTGCTGCAGTAAGTCAGGTTATTTTCTTGTCCAAACAGTAGGCATAATGGACAGCCTTGCAAATGGAAATTCGTATGTTGCATGTGCAAAAAAAGGGCAAAGGTGATGGGGGTTTTACCAGATTTCTTTAGCGATTATGACAAACATGTAAGATTTAGATGCCATCAGTGATTAAACACAACCTGTTTAGCAATGACTGAGACAATCTGGCAAACCTCTAATCACAGAWGAAAAATTTGTCACCACCAGATTTATACCAGCCCTAAATAAGCAAAGGAGCAAATCTGTACTTCAATCAAAAGTGAAACTACATTATAATTAGAGCCAACTGTTAATCTACATTGCATGAGCAGTAATATAAATGAAGATAGGATAGATGTACYCTGGATCAAGCTACCACTGGATACAAATTTGTCAGCCTGTCAGGTTTGTGGTGACTGTCAGTGCTAGAGTACAGATTCTGTGTGTCACCTGTGTAAGCCAARTGACTTCAGTGAAAGCATGCACAGAATGGGTTCTCCAAGTGCTTCAGTGTATGTTGAGATTAGGAGGCCTTGGTGAAAAAAGCTATGTATCCTTACCCCTTATGAAAACAGAAAAGTGATTCCTAAGATATCATTTTAGCTGCATTAATAGCTTTGACAGAGGGTGTTCCTCATGTCGGCTGGACTGACATCTTTCTAGCTGTTTCCTGGTTTCTGGGCAAGATAAATTACTAGTATACCTTTAACTACCCTGTCTCTTTATGTTTGAAAATCTTTCCCTAACTTATGGTCGTCTGTAGGGCAGTTTAAATATTTCTTTGGACAAATACTGGTGTAGCTGCTTTGGCTCTACAGGACTTCTCTACARCATGCAGGTGGTTCTCAGGATGATTAACACATCTATGTTGCCTCTGTAGCTCAAGTAGCAGGCAGTAGCCCGTGCTGAGCTGGTGGTGGCCTTCTTCTGGGACAGTTTTCTTTCTAATGAGCATGCAAAAATGAACAAAATCAACCTTCTCTCTTCACATTTATCATACAATACATATTTTACAGTGGTGACTTTATTATTGTCAGAGAATTGTCTCTACTTTTTATCTGAAAATGTGTGGCTAAGCACCCATGTTTTGTTTCAGTGAAAAGCTTCATATTTGATCTATTTCACCACCAACATAAAGCGATTACCTTTTGAAGATTTTGTGGAACAGGAAAACTTTCYCAGTCAGTTACCTTTATGTCTTTGGGAGTACTGGAGTGCCTGTCACGCCACCTGAGAAGCCCCCAGTAGCCAGCACAAGTTTGGACATAATTTTCTATAATGTGAATTGAGAAAACATAATCTTAACTGATACTTTGCACCACAAAAAAAAAAAAAAAAACCCAAAACCAAACCAAACCCAAACAAAACAAAGCCAACCAAAAATCCCTAGCTATATACACCATACAGGGAGTTTTGTTTAGGATTGTACACACAAAAAGATATATGGATGGGAAAATGGAAATAGAATTCCATTCCAATAAGTTCAGAACTGAAATCTTCATAGTATATGAAACAAAGTGATATATTGTGAAGTCAAGCTCTTCTCCCATCTTTCTGCCAGTATCTTGAGCTTTTTGCACATCTTTTATTCCTAAAAACAATATGAAAGTGGAAGAAGCATATTTACATATTAAATTTATGGATTATGGTTAAAATTATGGTTTCTTTCAAACRGCCTTATCATAAAGTTCTTTGAAAGTGATCTGCAGTGAGAGATTTTAGGGAAAAATATAACAAATTTAATAAAATAAGGAAACATAGTGCTTGAAAAACAAGTGTGGAGAGGATAAAAGTCACTGTGACTGTTTTGGGTTAAAATTCTTCTCCTTTTGTTCCCTTTCTTTGGGAATTTTTTCTTTGCCATTTGTTGCTGGGATACACTAATTACCRGGTCATCCTTTTAGTGGCTGGGTGATTAACAGAGACAATGATACTGATTCAAAAATGATCTGAGCAAGACTCCGCAACTTATATAATTTTAAGTTGTGAAGTAGGTATGTTTATTGCAGCGCTGGGTGAGCAGGAGGTACTCCTCTAAGCCGCCCACCCCGCAGCACGGGCACCGCTTGGTATATATCAGGTTACATGTTACACATTCACCGAGTTTTGCAATTCGCCTATAAAAATGCATGACCTGTCCTCGCTTTGTATTATAATGAGTTTAAAAGTCATTTCTATGTGCTCACGCCTGTGCCGTGTTATCTGGTAGTGGGCTCCGGGGGGGTCCAGGAGGAAGTAAAATACTCATCCTCTTGTCTTGAACTTTTCACCTTTCTCTTTTGCGCATGCTCTCTGGGTCCCTGGCCCAAGTCCAAACCAACAACTCTGGTTTTGACCAGAGCAGGGGTTCCACGCGTAAGGGCTGGGTCACAGTCCCTGCTTTTGTCAATAATCTTTTACTTTTCATTCTGCTTTGACAAACACAATCAATGTTAAGTAAGCAATATACATTGTCTAGCAAGCAGTTTCTAACAAGTTACCCTGTAACTTCTAAATTCCCTGCATCATTCTCCTCTTTTCTATAAAATTAGTAAATTCTTTTACTAATACATATATTTTTTTTAATAAACTTTTATGARAGGTGTTTCTTAATGCTTTACTATGTGCGTTKGACAGAGAAGTCAGAATCGCTACTTGTTATAACATTTGCCAATTCTAAACAAATAACACAAAAGATAAAATGAAGCTAACACTAACTAATAATAAAAGAACAACAATACGGTGACAAAGTGTATTTAGAATACCAGTTGCAGTAGGTGACTACCTAAAGAGCACATCCTACTAGTGATGACTTGCATCTTGTCCTGCCCTTTGCAGGATTTTGCTTATCTTTTCTGAGTCATGATGTATAGTAATTAAAGTTTTCTTTCTATTTTCTTGGATTTCTTTCAAAATTTCAATCAAGTTTTGATGCTTTACTAATTGTCTTATTAATGTAAGTTTCATTCTAATAGGTATGGGTGACAATTTGTGGTACATAGTGTAATTAGACTTTATTAATTGGTGGGATACAACTGGAGCAAAATACGAAAAGTCACACTCAATTATCTTAATAAAATTACAGATACAAAAATTAGAATAATTCTTAATATTTAAGGTTATGTTATTACTATTTATCTTTATAGAAGCACAAACAGTCTTTAAGCACACACAACCTTGACTAATATACACAAGCACAGTCTTTTGACTGGAATCTGGATGGGCTTCAAAGCGGCAAATGCCTTGCTCCGTATCAAGGCATGTCTTGGGCATCAATTGTATTGCTTTTACAGATAAACCCTTGTTGTTCTCRTGCAATACAGGATTCTAAATTCACAGTTTGCTACGTTTTCTCTACTATCTGGGCTCATACTCTATGTTTAGAGGGATAGAGCACTGTTTTCTCATGGTTTAATCTTAATGCAACAATGGGGTGGATAATGTAGACAGTAGCATTACTTATAGTGAGCACAAAGGCTGTGGCTATATTGTCAAAAGGGTCATAGGTAAAGTTTACCAGGGTCTACTAAGATTGAAATTTTTTTTCTAGATCAGTGGCATAGTCTCAAACAATTTTCCGAATTTCAATGGGAAAAGTGCCTTCACTACTTTCTCTTATAATTAAGGCGGCTGCTGACTGTGTCTATAGTTGTGCCTGTATACAACTAAGGGCTAAGGATACATTGTCCTRGACTATATTAAGTGCATTTATTATTAATTCATGGTCTTGTTTGTTAATTTTTTCTCATTTTGGTAACACTTTTGAAACTTGCTACTGCTCACTCTCTAATGATAGTAGAGAAGATTGCAGGGGTTGTCTTAATTTTACTAAATCATTAGTTATAATGGCTAATTTATTCACTAATATTTTTGAATTAATTCTATTTAAAACTCTTAATCTTGTCCCAAACACTTCAGTTAAGTCTCTTTGTGTTCTACTCTTGAAGGGCACTTGTTTCTTCAACTAAGTTACCCACCCCTTGAAGGATGTTTGTAGGAAAGGAGAACATGTTGGTTGGATTTCAGAAACATTGATCTGCATTGTCAGTTCAACACGCTTGAGAGATCACTCTGGGTTAAACAACAATTGTTGTTGATCTGTGTTTTTTATTACATATGGGCCAGTTTTATAAATTTTGGGTTCAAGTTTAGGTGGTGTAAGTTTGGATTTGGGACTGAGTGCTGGYATAGGTTGTAATAGGTCCACCTATGGCATTTATTTTAAATTTGAATGAGAGCCCTATTGTATCCTGGGCCCAAAGACAAATTACTTCAACAGTCTGTACTAACGTAAAAGTATACTAACAATCTAATTTACTCGAACTAGTACAAATTTCATCATGMTTATCAATAGGGGTAGCTGAGACACTTATCTTGATTGCTTTTTCATAGGCAGTCTCATTAATTATTCGGCATCTTATTTTGATTACTTTACTTACAGTCTTTTGAAGCTGCCATGCTCTTTGTTTTTCTTATTCTTGTCTTGCATATACTTGATTTTCGTGCATACCTACAGTTAACAGATTTAAACTTTTTATATCAGAATACTTTTTTATGGATCTAGTATACTGCCAGATACCTTGAGACTAAGGCCAATCAGTATTGCCCTGGCTAGAGGTACTMTCCCATTTTTGGATTATAATTATACTTCCCGGGCCTTGGCGGTTCTGGTGGGAAAGGCTTCTGGCTACCCTGAAAAGGTATTTGTTAATACTAACAAGTATTGATACCCCCCTTTTCTTGGAAGTTCTGTGAAATCAATTTGCCACTGCTGTCTAGGTCTATGGCTTCTTCTAATTTGACTAAGTTTTATTTTGGGAGTAATTTTGGGTTTAGTCTGGAGGCAAATGTCACACTGCCGGGTTACCTGCTTGATGGTATCTTGTAAATGCCTGGCAATAATTTTATTATTTAGGTAATTATACAAAGCATCTACACCCCAGTGTGTTTTCTGGTGTTTTTTTCTAATTAATGACTACAACAAATAAGAAGGTATTATTATCCTTCTTTCTGCTGTGATAGCCTATCCTTCTTGGTTATATGTTCCTTTTTCATTTTTAATTAACTTTTTATTTTCTTCATTGTATTTAGGCTTACCTTCTAGGGAGACCTTCTCATCTGGGATCAGGGCTCCTTCTGTTGTTATCTGGCCTTTTGCTGCTTTTTTTGCCTCTCTGTCCGCCAGCTCGTTTCTTTCCTCTAATTCAGAGCTCACCTTTTGGTGTGCCTTAATGTGCATGATTGCCACCTTTTTAGGTAGCTGGACTGCTTCTAACAGYTGCAATATTTCTTGTGCATGTTTGATATTTTTTCTTTGTGAGTTCAACAGTCTCTTTCTAAATGGCTTCATGTGCATGTACAATTCTAAATGCATACTTTGAGTCTGTATAGATGTTTATTTTCTTTCTTTTTGCTATTTCTAGGGCACGTGTCAGAGCAATTATTTCAGCTTTCTGTGCAGAGGTGTTTGTTGGCAAAGGTCTAGATTCTATTACTTTTTTGCAGGTAGCAACTGCATACTCAGCCTGTCACTTTCTACTAATAACATAACTGCTCTCATTAGTGAACCAGGTTTCTGCGTCATCTAAAGGGGTATCCTTCAGATCCCGACGACTGGAATATGTAGCTTCGATGGTTTCTAGACAATCGTGGTGTACCGGCTTTCTTTCATTTCTGCTGAGGAAAGAAGCTGGGTGGACAATGTTAGTCACTACTATTTCTACATCATCCTGTTCTACTATGATGGCTTGGTGTTTTAAGAACCTCTGTGGGGAAAGCCAGTGGCCGCCTTTYATTTCTAGCACTGCAGACACTGTGTGTGACACCAGCACAGTCATTTTCTGGCCTAATGTAAACTTCCRTGCCTCCTGAATGTTTATCACGACTGCTGCAACAGCCCTGAGGCACCCCGGCCATCTTTTGGCTGCTGTATCTARTTGTTTTGAGAAATAAGCAACTGCCTGTCGGTACGGACCCAGGTCTTGTGCTAATATTCCCAAGGCAATTCCCTGTTTCTCATGGGAGAACAGAAAGAATGGTTTACTCATGTCTGGAAGTCCTAGAGCTGGTGTTGACATGAGGGCATTCTTTAGCTGCTTAAAGGCCTTTGTGGCTTCCTTTGTCTACTGGAGATCCCTCTCTTCTGTGTTTATGAGAGCAYATAGGGGCTTTAGAAGTAAACCATAATTATAAATCCAAAGTCTGGACTAGCCCGTCATTCTCAAGAATGTTCTGAGTTTTTTCACAGTTTGAGGTTTCGGGGTCTGGCAGATGGCTTCTTTGTGATCCTGCCCCAAGCTCCTTTGTCTTGCACAGATCTCATGGCTTAGGTAAATTACCTTTTTTTTTTTCATTACTTAGGCCTTTTTCTTGGAAACCTGGTATCCCTGCAGTCCTAGGAAATTTAGCAGGCTTACCGTCCASRTAAGATAGGCCTCTTCAGTCTTGGTAGCTATCAAGAGGTCATCCACATATTGCAACAGTTTTCTTTTTGATGCTGGGACCTCCTAGGATTCTAAGTCCTTGGTAAGTTGATCTCCAAATATGGTAGGACTATTCTTGAACTCTTGAGACAACACTGTCTAGGTGAGCTGGGTTTTACGCTTACTTTTAGGGCTTTTCTATTTAAAAGCGAATATTTTCTGGCTGGCTTCGTGGAGAGGGAGGCAAAAGAAGGCATCCTTCAAATCTAGAACAGTAAACTAAATTAATTCTGGTGTTAATTCAGTTAATAACRTRTATGGATTTGCTACTACAGGGTAGAGGTCTTCTGTAATCTTATTTACAGCCCTCAAATCCTGTACTACCTGGTATGATCTATCAGGTTTGCGAAC